CATCCATAAAATGAGGATAATAATACCTCCTTAACAAGATCGGCATATGGGTATATAAAGCATTTAGCAGTGCCTGGTACATAACATGTGTTCAGTAAATGGTAGCTATGATTATAATAATCTATAAACTGTGAATACTATCTATTCTGCCTACTTCACAGGAGTGCATATGAAATGAGGGAATTTATATGAAAGTACTTTGAAAAACTACAAAATTTACATACGAGAGGGCTATTTCTAGAGTGGTTTTGTTATTATAAGAGCCTGCTCACTTAAAAAAAAAAAAAGGTCTGTTAAGAATAGCAGACTTGGGTTCTTTAAAAAAATAAATAAATAAATAACCTTTTAAACACTACCACCACCATCCCACGGGGTTGGATTTTTTACTGAGTAGTGAGGGAACGTGTATACCTATCGCCGTGTGTGCATCCATCTGTATGCAAATTCCTGCGCTGAATTGCTGCCCTGGGGAAAGGATCATATGATGCAATGTGTTTCTTTTCTTCCTAGATCCATGAGGATTTTTGGTTAAAAGCAAGAGAAGTAATTGGAGTGGCTAATACAAGAAGACAGTTTAACAGAGATGGGAGACTCACAAAATGAGATTGGGGAGGGGACAGGGATGGCAGGACCAGACTTAAGAAACAGAAATCTAGGAAATTCTTGAGGTTGGGCGACAAGATTCATGACCAAGAGTCCAGGAAACTGCTGCCACCACCATCATTGTAAGCAAGCAGTCTTATGTCCAATTTCTCTCTTCATCTTTGTCACTTTTGGGAGAGGGAAAGTCCCAGGAGTGAGCATCCAATTGGCTCAACTTAGACGACATCCTTTCTTCAAGGATTTTTGGGGGAGTTGGGGATTGGCAAATTGTGAAAGAATCTGTCTCCGGGAATTGCCAGGTCACCATACCAAAAAAATATATATATATATTCCCCCGAAAGAAACATGGAGTACAAATAGAAATTTAAAAATCTTCTAGGAAGCTACCTTTTGTCAGCTCTCATTCTACTGATGAAGAAGGTTCAGAGAACTTATTCAAGGGCTCAGTGTCAGGTCTCCTGGTTCCTAATCCATGTTGACTCTCGTATACAAAACTCAGCAATTTATAAAATCATAAGCCATTTCTCCAGCTTTAAATGATGTCTAAGGTAGAGGAGATAGGAGCAAAAGGGACTGACTCTACAGAAGGTGATTTTCTGTTTTCAGGTGTTTTTCATTACATGAGCTCAGTACATAAGAATAAATAATGCTAGAATGCAGCTGACCTCCAATGCATGATGGCAGAACCTCATTACTGCAAAACCGCTGGTGATATATATTGAGAAGTGTACAATACATTGAATTTTCAGTAGAAACCATTAAGCGCCCCTGCATCTAATTGCCATTTTTCTTATTCAGAGTGCAATAAAAAATAATTTTCCATGCAATAATTTGCCTGGCTTCTCATATAAACCTCTATCTCATTCTGCTTCCTCTTTCCTTCCTTGCTTCAGATTGACAGTACTTTTAGATTTTCAGACCCAGACATGAGCACACACCTTCCATGTTTCCCCAAGCAACATTCCTGTGCATATTTGAAAACCAGTAGTTAAGAAAAATTACGATGATGTTACAGCTCCAAAGGTTATAGTTGGGAGAAGTCTTGGAGGAGCTGTGCTCTAGCCTGAGGGAAACTGAGGCTTAGAAGATATATGCCAGGTAGATGGAGGTAGGGGCGGGTCAAATGCCATTAAAGACTATGCTGGGTTTGATCCTCTTGTTTCCCATTATTGTTCTCATGCAATCCGGACAGACACTATGAGGGTCTCTTTAAAGGGCTGACGGTATTGTCTAATCCAGAGGTGGAAATAGTTACTAAGGGGAAAAATCCAGACTATACATGGGTTTGATCTTGTCCAACAGTCTTGGCCAATACAGTCTTTTAAAAAGTTTTAGTTAATTGGCCAGGCACGGTGGCTCACGCCTGTAATCCCAGCACTTTGGGAGGCCGAGGCGGGCAGATCATGAGGTCAGGAAATCGAGACCATCCTGGCTAACGCGGTGAAACCCCGTTAGTGATTTTAGTAACTACTAAAAATACAAAGAAATTAGCTGGGTGTGGTGGTGGGCGCCTGTAGTCCCAGCTACTCGGGAGGCTGAGGCAGGAGAATGGTGTGAACCCTGGGAGGCGGCACTTGCAGTGAGCCGAGATCACGCCACTGCATTTCAGCCTGGGTGACAGAACAAGACTCTGTCTCAAAAAAAAAAAAAA